GAGAGAGAGAGAGAGAGAGAGAGAGAGAGAGAGAGAGAGAGAGAGAGAGAGAGAGAGACAGAGATTGCAGACTGTCTAGAAGCGATATCCGGTAGCGTTTCCGCGTCTACCCCGGAAACTAATGTGCCTATGTAGAGATTGAAAGCAGCGAGGGGTGAAAGTACGTCGAGGGTGAAATCGATTTTTTTCTCCACCGAGAGCCTGAACAGTATCTCCGTGCGCTCGTCACGAGATGGCGCCAAGTTATCATTTGCACGACTATATTCACTTCTTTTTTGATGAAGAAATTTAAGAAATTAATTTTTGCGCTAAAATACCAAATAGGCTACTTTTCTTTAGGTGCAGAAGTGGTCATGTCAATTATACAAATAATACTGATATCAGAAGATGTTCACATATTGGTAATATCAATTGACAGAAATATCAATTAACATAAAGATAGCGATATGTTCTTAATGATCAGTCATTTACTGTAAACTTTATTAACATAAGTAAATATCTCTTTTTCAAAATATATTAACTTCTGAAAAGCAAATATTTAGTTTACTTAAATTGTCTAGATTATATTTAAGTAATTATTCAGTGTGAATCAATTGAAAATTGATAAAAGATTCGTGATTATTTAATTTATGCAGGCATACTCTCATATGTATCTTCATTTCATTCATAGTTTCTGTTGCGATCGTGAATTTGACATGTATAAAGCAACTTTTTTCTGTAATTTCAACGGCACAATTGTTCTTACTCAGACTTTACGAGGAGTATCGAAGGATAAAGCACGGAGGAAGATATGACGGTGTATACTACGGGACATCAAAGGTAGGGACATCTAACTGTGACTCGTGAAAGTTGGATGGTTTGATTTTGTGCAGCCCTTGTTGAAACCCATCTTCCCCCCTTCTGGAGGGTGGGGCTTAGGGGTATTCCCACAATCCCCGAACCCACCCTTTAGACAGCCCCATCGTTGTTGCCCCCCATAAGCCGCCCTTCTTCGCGCCCTCCCAGCATCTTCTTCCGCGCCATCTGCGACTTCTGCAGACTTCGGCCGCGCGCGTGCGGCGACGTAATTTCACCGATTTGTAATCGTAAGTTAGGAACAATTTGTAGCAAGCCGAACGTTTAATTTCATCGATATATGTAGTATGCGGCGCTACAATTGTTAAACTCTTACCGAGTCTTTCATTTTTACAAGCATTTACATTTTTACTACGCAACTCTCGATGCGTTACGATGTTTAAACTTAATCTACGATGCTTCTTGCTTCCTGTTTCTTGTTCTTTATCTTTTTCCGGCTTAGGTTTAAAGGTTTAAAGTTTGAGTCAGAAGAAAATAAAGAAAAAGAAGCCGTGTAAGGAAAGAACACATTATAAATTAAGTTTTATGTGCGCACAGCTCTCAATGCATTGCACTTGCAATTACTTTTGATTTGTATCTTATGAACGAGCGATCATGCTATTTTTTATTAACTAGTGACTATACTGATAACTATACTATTACAACAATAACAAGTCAAATATAACGATCTTGGACACTTACATCGGTTTAATTTTAACTTTAATCTAATTCAGCGCGACATTTCTTATGATATTTCAAATTTTCCCGATCTTAAACGGAAGATATTTTATAAGAAATATCATTTATAATAAACTTAGACGGAAGATGTGTAAAATATAGTGAATAGTGAAACTTAATGAAGTTTCAATATTTCTTAATACTTTTACAAACGTAAGTGCTGGGAAAATTATAGTCACGCTGTAGAAAATGAATTTGACCTCCAGATGATTCTCAAAAATTACTTATGTAAGAAAGAAACAATAGTCCAAATTTATCTTCCCTCTAAGTTTCATCCAAGAGAATTTTCAGAAAACCTTGATTTATAATTGGATATAATTTATAATATTTTTGATATTTTCATTATCTTATCTTTTGTCCAAGAAAATTCTTAGAAAATTTTAATTTATAGAGATATTGGACTGGTTCGATTGAGATGATCCAGCCTGAAATTTTAAGATCGATAAAACTACTTACCTGGCGATGGTGACAATAGTCGGAGCTGTAGGCAGAGCCGCGAGGAATAATTTGAAAGTACCACCGATCAAGCGATCGAGATCGTTGGATTCCGTCACGTGCTCAGGCAAGGCTGTATCGTCGATGGTACAACCTGCGTCGTACACCAGCAACCAATCAATCTCCGAATCTTTGTAAGCGGCCTTTACCTCTCGGCTGATCAGCTCCACGGTTTCATATCTGCACATTACAAGAGGTTTGCATGATTATTGATTATGTTGTTACGAAGTCAAACAGACTTGGTTTGCTAGGTGTGAATTCTCTTGAAATCGCACTCGCAAATCTTTTGTATTTCTGCATCCGTGTTAGGCGTGTATCTGCACGAAAAAAAGCGCTTGATTACATTAGCCAAAAGTTCTACTGAAAATTCCGGTTGAAGTTACCAGAATTCAAATTAAACCGAAATCTTGTCAATTTGAACGGAATTTCGGTAACTTCAATTGGAATTTTTGGTTTGTTCATATTTCATTATAGAAATTCGGTGAATCCAATCAAATCTTTTTTTCCGTGTGGTATATATATATTTAAAAGCAAATTTTTATCATAATTAACATCATAATTAAGGGACCAAACTAATACAACGTTCCGAAAAAACGTATTTTTGGAAATTAATTTTGCGAAAATTTACCGAATGTTTTGAAACATTGTATATTAATGAAAATAACTATTAAACTCTATATATTACTATTTCTGTTATTTAGGAAAACCTATAAATAAATATGTAATATGTAGTTGAACTCACGACTGCAAAAAATATCACTGCAATCGACAAAAAAAAAGTAGTTCTAGTGACCTGAGGTGAAAAAACCAAAAAGTTTCATAAATAATATAGCTGTAGTTGCAGGATAAACCTGAATTTTATGCTGTGGAACGAAATTGCAGAAACAATAGCTGTTTGGAAATTGGATATTTAAATTCGCATTTCTTATTATTTTTCCCTATTAAAAAAGTATTCAGTTTAATATTTTCCTGGATTTTTTTTTATTCATCCTCCAACTCTCTATAAGCATATTATTTAATAAACTTTTTAATTTTTTGTCTTCAGGTCATTAGAAAGGAGGCAATCTTTTCCATCGCTTACAACGATATTTTCTGCAATTGTAAGTATCACCATATGCTGCGTATTGATTTATAGGTTTTTCTAAATAACAAAAATGACAATATAAAGCTTAATAGTTAGTTAATTAATCTGGCAAATCTTGCTGATCTTTTCCAAAATGTTACATTCGGTTTAAACAGCGCTATTTTCACTGAGAATTAATTACATAATTGATTTATACATGTAAAAATGATTATAGGTAATCGAGCTCGATTCAATAAATAAGATTTAAGATTAACTCGTTCTACTATCGTAGAATAATAAAACACTTATGAAAAATCTTCGACACAAGAATGATAAGTTCGAAAAGAATAATAAGAGCGAAAGCAGTAAAAACGATAATAAAATGAAAATAAGGAGAATAAGTTTCTCGTCGGCGACAGGGATGGCTCATTTTCGAAAATGGCGATTACACGGGTAATTTGCGAGTCGCACATGAGCGGGAGGGCCAGACGTAGGGCCACGAGGGCCAGAAGCGGGAGACAAAGGTGAACGATAGAAAGTTTATAATGCCCCAACGCGCGCGATAGCACGTGGCTGCAAAAGTTGAGGTATTTCCTGAAGGCACGCGACGAAAGTTAACACGGCCGCAAGAACGGTTCCGGGTGCCCGTAATTTGTACTCCTCCGTTCCTCCGTGAGCGCTCTTTATCTCCCTCCCTCCGACTCTCTCTTTACTCTCCCCCCGCCCCTTATACCGCCCTCTTCTGCTTTTACTCTTATCTGATCACAAGTTTTCCTCGTTTTCTGCAGCTGCAATTCCTGGCGCGGCACGATCGGACGATACCTTCGTTGACAAGCAGGGGCCGATCCTGGGCTTTTTTCCCCTGTTCTTTTTTTTTCCTTTGCTTTTAGATTACCGATAATGATATCATTGGATGACGATGCGGGAGCCGCGACGACGGCAGACCCGCCGTAAACCTGCCTCGTGATGAAACATACTTCTAACGGAGCCCGCTTGGATGGCTGTGATTATCATCGTTACTGTTTCGTGGACACAAGCATGTGGGGCGTCCCATTATTGTATGATTTTTTATTGCGACGCCAAGGAGTTTTATGTGAAGACAAGATCTTGATAAATTCAATTTCAATTTTATCAAGTTTTTTTCGAGGAATTATTTCAATCCGTAAATTCGCAAGAAAGCACTTATACAGAAATACGTGTTTCTTATCTTTTTAATTACTTTATAACATATCCAAAATTTATAAAAATTGGTGAGCTACGTTTCCAAACGTTTTCTTGTCGTATTAAAAAAATAAATGTGATTTTATTATGAGCGGAATCCTCGTATACATGATTTTTTTAGAGCCAAAAAGAAAATATTCCAAGCACAACATTTTTATTATGGGTTTATTTACTTTCAATTTAATACACGCAATTATCTTCTTTACTGAAAAAAGCAAATGTGGTAGGTTCTAATCAAACATATATAAATTTTCCCAAATAAATTTTCCTACTCTTGGAAAAAAATTGAAAAAATCCACGGAAAAAATAAAAAAAGAACTGGTTTCTTTCATGACTTCAAAATTATAATCTGCATATTAATCTAATCGTGAAATCGCGGACATGTATCTCATGTACGATCTTGCCAATGGATACTCTAGCTGCATGACGTCTCTTTGTGCGGAAATATATCCAAATCGGAAAATTCTGTAATATGAAAATATCAAACGTGTGTAGAAATGGACGGAGAACATCTTTTGTAAATGTCAAAATAATAATATGGTAAGTTCATTCACCGCGCGTGATCATTGGAAGCACCTAAATAACTTGCGTTACCAGAATCGAGCAACATTTGTAATTCTGAAAGGGTTGATTTTCTTATCTATGCTTACTAAACATTTTTAACTCGATATAACGAATATCATCCATCCTGTAAGTTTTGAATCTTTTCATTTGAATATCCAGTATAAAAATTTCCATCGCTGGAAAACCTTTCAACGAACTGTGAATATTAAACTTTTCTGAGACGAAATTTAGCGCACCAATTGACGGGAAGAAACTGAAGGAGACATTAAATTGTATCGCACGCAAAGTTGAAGAAACGGCTCGCGAGTACCGTCGCCCTCGATGCGGGCTTGCTCGACAAGAAGAGGGCGAAAATGTCTCTCTCACGCAACGCGATACGCGATACTGTGCGAGGAACAGCACAAATTAGTCGACACACGCACCGGAAGGCGCGGGGACACCTTCGGTATTAATAACGGAAACGCACGCTATATCATTTCGCCACTGACACACGGCCGAGCGCATAATTTTCGAATTAAGCTAAACGGTCCTGGGTTAGGCCGATACCGTGTGTGTACGTAACCGAACGTCTGTCCCGTAATGGATGTAATCGGTGAGAAGTTTAGTCCTCTCCTTTTTGTTATTTGGCCGGGATACCAGGTGTGTGGCTAGCGTGCGGCGTGCCCGCTCGCTAACGCGTCAACTGTTTATAAGAGGAGGCCATCGTCGGCCTTTCGCGCCCACTTTTTCCTCGCTGAATATTAATTATTCTCCCGAAAGCATCTGCACACCTGCCCTACACTCGCCTCCGGGCCGGACACACACGGGCCCGCTTCTTCGTGTCTATCGTCGCTCGTGTGATTCCTGCCGCAGATTATCCTGACAGTTGGGTAACAAAGTCGGTAACGATCGATCTTGAGGAAACGAGAACAGGCTTTTGTGTCCCGCACGTCGTTTGCCGCGCGTCAACAACGCCGCGAACAACGATGCACTCGCGAAAACGCGGCCGTTGCGACTAGGGATGTGCGAATCAGGCCGGTTCTACATTAGTTGCAAATCGCAAGGTTGCAAGAAAATTTAGCAATCATAATTGATCATTCTTCTCGCGACCAAAGGAAAATTAACTGTGGTTGGTCAATTTTCTTGCGAGCTTGAGACTTGCAACTAATGTAAAACGACTCTTAAATTGTGTCTTCGCGATGCGATCTTGTTTCAGAATTGCAATGAATGCGATATATCGTATCACAATTATGTATTGCAAATATGATTTGAAATCGTGCGCAATTTTGTATCGCAAATGCGATTTTTAATCATAAAAGAATCAGAGGCATAATGGGAATCGTAATGTTTAAATAAATGTTAAACATATCAGAAATAAATCAACTCTTCGTATTGCATCAAAATATTCCTTGAAATATCTTATAACAAAACACAAATTTTATTGTAAAAGAATAGTTAAAAATACAAGCATAATAAAATTAAACGATGTTATCTTAGAAACATTATTTAATCTTATTATACTTTCTATGTGTTATTGCATGTTTAATTAATTGTAATTATTTATTGACATTTTTCTCATTAAACAATAACACTGCCTCTTTTATTACTTTTATTTACTAAAACATTAGTGACAGTCAATATTAAGTGTAATAATCTTTGGTAATCTTCTGAAACATATATAATAAAAAAATATATAACAATTATATAAATATATAATAATGCAACTTAACATTTTAAGACTGTTATAACATATTAAACTTAACATATTAAAACTTTTCTTTACATATTATATTTAATATTAAGAACTGGAATATGATGTAAAATCATCTTTACTATCTGTTTTACATTTTGACACTTTAATCTAACATACTACAATAAAAAAGAATGCTGTAGCAATTTTATCTTTTCATTATATGACGCAATTGAAATGGCTCAACAGTGTTAAAAAATCTCACATTCCCACGAATTGTAACTTTTCTTAACTTTTTTCCGGACGTACTGAATCGAAAGTCACTAGTTTGTAGATAAGTAAAATTAAAAAATCAATTAGGAAGTCGAAAATGACCGCAATGTGCCAGAATGGGATAAAATTCATCTTGATAATAGTTACCAGAATATAAATAATATAAAGTTCATTGTATTCTTTCTGCTGCACATAAATTGTTCCTGTCGACTGTAGCGTATCATTAGAATCTCACAGTATGATCGATGATGCTTAGGCATCTCGTTAATAGGTATAATTATAAACGACTTATCGCACTCACCACCTGAATACATTGTGATGGCGCGCGTCTTCCGTGGACATTCAATTTTGAGAGGAGATTTTTCAGATCGCATCGTTAGGCCGATCCAT